TGTATTAAAAATATTATGCGATGTTATAATAACTGAGTGAGAAAGACATTAATTATCTTTCTGAAGTTTTCAAGTCTTCATTAATACGTACATGAAAATAAATTTCTTTTCCTAGAAATATGTCTTAATTCTATTGTAAAAACGTTAGAGTACGACTGAACATTTAACGTTTAGATAAAAACTGGCCACGATTCACGCTCAATTGGTATCTACTCTACTCGCACTAATTGCGACATTCGCCTTGTGCAATGGCGTTGCGAAACAAAAGATGATTAGGTAACAGCCAACATTTCATGGGTAAATGAACTCTTTCTGAATCATTGTTTTATATCAAGCATACTTTATAAGTTAGTCGAAATATAAATTGTTTCCAATTATCCCATGTTTAATTTGACTCATAATATTCGACTGGAAAGTTTCGATTTACGAAACAAACCGGAATTTCATATGCACCAATAAATACATATTAAAATAGAGAATAATTTATCTTATTAATTCCATCCCAGGTTCGTTATAGATTTTAATTCTGCGACTCCGGTTTTGTTCACCATTTTAAAAACCCAAGAGAGGAAAAGGTGGAGATCGAACGAGTTTTTTTCCACCGGTATCGATTCAAGACGGCGTATAATTCGATATTGATACCGTAATCCTATATCTACGAGGCATACGCAGGGCCTCGTCGCGTTGATCGTCGACCACGCGCATCGGTTGACGATATGCAATGTACCTTCAACGAGAAGAAACGTAGAAGTGCACGTACTCGGTGGCCAGACGACAATAACGGTTCGCCATGTACGGACGCTGGCTGACAAGTCCGCTGGAGCGAATTCGCGGTGTCATGGAACATTATTTCAACCTAATCGACTCTGCTCGCGGTTGTTGCAGTTTTGCCGCTACGTATAATGTACATACGTTTGTAGAAGAAGGAGATAAAGTATTCTATAGAAGCTCATACAGATATAATACTTGCATTCTTTCATTCTCTCAATTTGTTATTAAAACTTTTGTTAATAAAGTTAATGTAAATAACTGTTAATAAAACTAAGCAAAATATTTCACGACGTACTCATTTCTACGCGATCGGATGTAAAAGTTTTTCGCGTCGAAGGAAATCGAATATCGGGCAATTTGTAAATTTGTACTTGGAGAAGAGTGCACTTAGGTGCACGCGTTCACGGAAAGGAGCACGTGCTAGCTACCTACGTAGCTGTCTAGCTAGCTCGTTCCTTACGCCAGCTGCAAATATCGTGCAAGAGTCCCGAACGAAAATCCACGCGTTGCGTCGCGCACGCATGCAAAGCACTGGAGAACACGAGATCCATCTGGCGTGTGCGTGACCTCCTTGAATTATCCTGGCTCCTCGGCGAGCCTCTTTACGACTGCGTTCCCGTTCATTTCCTATTTCGGCAAGACTCCGGAATAGTCAGAGAATTATTTAATGGCCCGCGCCCCTTTGTTATTTAAATCGTGCCAAGTACAAATAGAAAGGGTTCTCTCATGTGCTACTTTACTAAACGCATTGCAATTTTCTAAGTCGTGTAACGAACGTGCGCCATACTGAACACCTGAACTCTTTTCTCAAGAAACTTCTCTTTAATCTTCTTGCATCGTTGATACGTAGATCTCTAAAGATGTGGATCACATCCTCGTATCTTATCATAGTCGCATGCGTACACACCTGTTCATAAATTTTACTTATTATTGCGAAATCTATCAAGTATGCCAAATTAGCAACCATCGGAGATGATTTAAAATGACACGATACAAGGGCATGCCACGAATGGATGGGTGGGATAAAAGAAATTCGTGCGACGTGCATAAAATTCGGATACGGTTTCAGTTTCTGTTCGCCAGGCAACAAAGCCCTAGACAAAAAACTACGGAACAAGATGCTATCGATTAACTATGCGAATCGTACCGCCTCTCCTTCCCATTCTTTGTCCCCTTTTCATTCGCAAACACAGACGCGCGAGTTCCCTAGAATTTCGCGTACCTATATACCCTATGGATCCTCGGGAGCAGACCGAGGGCGAAAAAGGGGAACGATCACCCCTCGAGGATAGTTTCCTCCCTTACTGCTAGCCAATGTGCCTCGTGCACGCCCAGTGACGTCAGAGCTACCCCTCGATGTAATTAGCCAATCCCATCGCCGGGTGGCCAACAACCAACCCCTGTTCCGAGTACATTTACGAGCCAATGATTTCTACAGCGTTCGACCGATACTTCACGCTCGTAACCATACCTACGTGTAATATACGCATTATTTGTACGTATCGTACGTTCAAATTGCAACAGAGGTAATAGCACCCTCTCTTATTTCGCTTTTTCCATCGATCCGGTTCACGTTCTCACCCCCTTGTCGACCTCCAACGTGTTTTCTATGTCACTCCAAAGCATGTCTGGTGAACTCTTCTTAGGAAGAGTACAGAAATAACGTGCGTACACTTTATGAAAATCTGAGCCGACAGTTTGACTCTTAGCACGCTTGCCGATTCGTGTGTTGCCATAGTGCCAATTGGGTTTCAAAGATTTTCTCGTGTTTACTGTCGGTGTATCAAAAATTAGTGTGATTTTAAACACTTCAAGAATTGTCTGCTTGGAAATGTTCCCGAAGTGATTCGAATTTCTACAATCTTGAAAAACTTCGATTCGGAGGTAGAACGTCCATCACTATTTATCATCCTTGTATGAACCTTGAATCTAATCCTGAGGAAAAAAAACTGGTACCCGCGAATTTCCACTGTCGACACCCCCTACGCGATATACATCGGAGATGATTTAAAATGACACGATACAAGGGCATGCCACGAATGGATGGGTGGGATAAAAGAAATTCGTGCGACGTGCATAAAATTCGGATACGGTTTCAGTTTCTGTTCGCCAGGCAACAAAGCCCTAGACAAAAAACTACGGAACAAGATGCTATCGATTAACTATGCGAATCGTACCGCCTCTCCTTCCCATTCTTTGTCCCCTTTTCATTCGCAAACACAGACGCGCGAGTTCCCTAGAATTTCGCGTACCTATATACCCTATGGATCCTCGGGAGCAGACCGAGGGCGAAAAAGGGGAACGATCACCCCTCGAGGATAGTTTCCTCCCTTACTGCTAGCCAATGTGCCTCGTGCACGCCCAGTGACGTCAGAGCTACCCCTCGATGTAATTAGCCAATCCCATCGCCGGGTGGCCAACAACCAACCCCTGTTCCGAGTACATTTACGAGCCAATGATTTCTACAGCGTTCGACCGATACTTCACGCTCGTAACCATACCTACGTGTAATATACGCATTATTTGTACGTATCGTACGTTCAAATTGCAACAGAGGTAATAGCACCCTCTCTTATTTCGCTTTTTCCATCGATCCGGTTCACGTTCTCACCCCCTTGTCGACCTCCAACGTGTTTTCTATGTCACTCCAAAGCATGTCTGGTGAACTCTTCTTAGGAAGAGTACAGAAATAACGTGCGTACACTTTATGAAAATCTGAGCCGACAGTTTGACTCTTAGCACGCTTGCCGATTCGTGTGTTGCCATAGTGCCAATTGGGTTTCAAAGATTTTCTCGTGTTTACTGTCGGTGTATCAAAAATTAGTGTGATTTTAAACACTTCAAGAATTGTCTGCTTGGAAATGTTCCCGAAGTGATTCGAATTTCTACAATCTTGAAAAACTTCGATTCGGAGGTAGAACGTCCATCACTATTTATCATCCTTGTATGAACCTTGAATCTAATCCTGAGGAAAAAAAACTGGTACCCGCGAATTTCCACTGTCGACACCCCCTACGCGATATTCAGAGCGTACAAAAGAGACCAGGGCAGAGGAGAGAAAAACCGATAGAGAATGAAGAAGATTTCCAGTAGATAGCGATTACATAGAAGAAGAGACGGTTAAGACGAAAATGAGGAGAAACGAGGACCTACGGGTATCGTTGCAACAATGAAATATGCGTCGGTGTGCGCGACGGGTATCATCGATTCGTTCGTAGGTGTGTTTGAGTATCGCTTTCTACAGTTAGGGATAATCCGCTTACCGCGGGCCCCGGCCTGTCGTCTTCTTTGGTGGCATTGTTGCCCGGCGTTTTGTGAGAAAACAGCATTTTCGACGCTCGAGGTGGCGACAAGAACAGCAGCTTAACTTATCTCCGTCATAACAAGAACCGAACGACCGGCTTCCCTTTTCACGTGAGAGGACACCAATTCGTCATCGTTGTCGTCGTTAGATACTGCAGATCGTGTCTCTACGATGTTCTTACACCTGATGCACTTTTCTATGGATGCACCTGAGAAGCGAATTAGGAAAATCAAGGGTCATTTGTCCATTATAAATTAGGCACAGTTCAATTCGAAACATAACTCCCGGATATAAGATAGAACAATATTTATCATTGCAGAATGAAACAAGGAAACAATTAATTCCAGTTTTTATATAAAAAAAAGCAAATGCCGACTGTGTTTTTAGTCCCATTGGGCCCCATTCGCTGTCTCAACGGTTACACGAGCACTGACACTCTTTAGTAGTGTCTCCTTGGTGGTGAGAGTCTCTGTTGTTACGATCTTTCTGATCGATGAAGGGGTAAGCTTCCCTCCCTCGGCTCCTGTATAATCCTATGAATGCATAATCTGGATGCAAACAGCCATGGCGCGTGTCACGTTTTAGAACGTCCGCGATATTTCACGGATTACCGAATATTTGCGTTACGTTTCACAGTATCTCGATCAATCCCGCCGGTTAATCGCAATCAATGCCGGCGCCTAGTTCTCTCATTTTTTTCTCCATCCTTCTTGCATGTCTATTGTCGAACCAAAAAAATCAGACGGAAGTTGATGGATGAGTTAACGGACGATTACATCGGCTTACGGCAGGGATGAAAAGACGTATTCGATTTTTTCACGCGATGTAAATGTGTAAATGAGCGTGCGATAAAACGAGAGACCCTGTTCGAGACTGATAAATATTTTTTTAAGGAGCGATAAGGAAGAAACGAACGGAAGCTTGATAAATTTTTAATAGAATTATTATTCGTTTTCTCCATTTGTTCCGAGGCTGATCCTTAAACGCTAAGTTCGATTAGTTGAACGCTTTGAATGAGGAAACGTCGCATGGAAACGAGTAATTAAGGCAGTCAGAAAGACAAGCTCGATTAATTACAAAAACCAGTCAAGTCAAAGCGGAGGAATCGCATGAATTCGCAAAGGTTTCATTGATTACTCGATCATTCCCTTACAGAGAACACCTTAAAACGTACGTTGAAGATAAAATATATTATAAAAAAAAAAAAAAACAACACCAATCCAATTGGAACTTAACACTAATCAAATTTCGAAACCTCTTTTTATCGCTGAATATCGTCTCTCACGTAAAATTCTTTGACATTCCAACAAGGGAAAACAACATAAAAATGAACGTATCGTCCCTGCGCGTTTTCTGCAGGCCTCTTAGTTGTTTGCACTGGTGCGATCGCAAGTAGTACGAGGAATAGTACGATTAATATATATAGAAAATATCGTTATCGTTATTTACATTAACGTACAAAACTAGAACGTTCTAGCTGACGGTGATATTTTTAATCTTCTTAGATTAGAACCGTACGCTTCTCATCTTCTCACCCTCTCCACCATTCACTCGGCTATGCCTTAATCTTTAACAATATCGATCTACAAAATAGCGAAATGTTCTTTGACGATGAAACGAAAGAACGGAAGATGAAGAACATCGACCCCTTCCGTTTTGATTGTTATCTTACGTATACGTAATAGTGGCGGCGATGTTCCTAATTAAAAAGAAAGAAAACGATGTCTATTAAACTGGCACGATGAAAACGATTAAAAAATCTAGTATAAAAAGTAGACTGCGGATTCTTATGGAGAGTTACATGTTTGTAAGTACACTGGGAAACGTGGGACCGAAACAGAAATTCGTACCATGCCTTAAATAGAGCATGCTTGAATTTTCATTTGTATCGTTTATAAAAATCCTCAGTCTAAGCTATGTTCGCTACACGGAGGGTCGGAATCACTTGTCAAGTTACACGATAGTTCAGCCCTACTGTTGTAAGCTCTACGGTATCACCCAGTGGGTATGTGTGTTTCTGTGTGTGTCGAGTTACAATTAATTGAGCGTAGACAGCTCGTAGTATTTTGTTTGTTAGGAGTGCAAAGGCTTAGACAACGAAGGCGTTTACGTATGTATGTATATGTATTTACATCGTGGTCGAATGGTAACCCGATTAGCCTCCTCGTGCACGAGGATGCGCACTGTCAATTTGATTGAACCGATTGACGCTTCAGCTGCGACGCGTTATAATATCTCTCTTGCTTGATTAAATTGATCGCGTTCCTCGCTACAGACCCAAATAATTAGATAGACATTTATAAGTCTTACGAGAAAGGATTTTTAGTAGAAAATTTCAAAGTAGACAGTTAGTCGAAGAGTGTAAAAAATCTTGTAGCCGTCGCAGCTAACGTACACTGCCAGCCTTAAGTATTAGGACATTTAATACAACATAAGAAATTTATTAAAGATTATACACTTTTTAATTTTGCGTTCGATTTATATGAGACGATAATTTTTAATTATTTTGTTGTTCCGATTTAGTGACATACGTAAAAGTTAAATGTCCTAATACTTGTGAGTACAGATATTAACAAACGTATCCCGGAAACGGGCGACTGAAGGGATTAGAAACTGTATACACACACTCATTCTTTTTAGCTCTCGCACTTTCTCTCCCTTACAAAAATACGTTGGACGGAACCGATGACGAGTTATCTATCAATCTCCTCGTGCTCGTGATTTTATGTTCTGCTTTATTTTTCTCTCTCGTTCGTTATTTAATCGCTTAATTAAAACAGCGTTTGTAATTGCGTGTTCGACGATTCACAGTTTTGAGCGCTTCGTTTCGCTTCGTTCTCTCCTTTTGTCATCTCTGTTCCACCGAGAATTCTGCGGGATCGAAGAAGGACTTCTTCTTTCTTTAAATAATGCCATCAGAAAAAATTAATATGACCGAAATATAATAAATACAAAGTGATAAAAACGTCTAATATGCAACAGGAGTTACAAAAAATATTCGTTTTTTCAGCAGTAAATATAATTTACTTGATCACATGGTATAAAAACAGGTTGTTAATAAAATTCTTATACGGTGGAGAATGGAAGGTGTAGCACATTTTATAAAATGATACACACCCAAATATTTCTTCCCGACATATAACATCGAACCAGCATTAAAAAGAAAGATAAAGTACGGTAACTCTGAACGTACAAATTCGGTATCCGACAGCTCCTCGCTCAAGAATTTCGTAGTTTCAAAATACTGATCTCGAAAAATACAAAGAGTGGTTGAACGATTAAAAGTAATCGTTCGTTTATGTTTTTTTCTTCTTTTTATCGCGAATGCGTTTAAAACTATGTAAATACAAAATACGCTCATCCCTTCCGTTAGAAAATTCCCCTTCGCTTAATCGCTCTAAAATAATACTATCTAGTCTCTTTCTATCTTTTCTCTTCTCGTTACACGTTTGTACATGCACACCGACCGATTGCTTCTCTGATCCCAAAAATTGTCATTGGAACATGATGTCGAAAGGTTCGCAGTAGATACATCCATCTCTGTACAAAAAAAGAAATCCCAAAACTCTCGAAAAAATCTTTGTATCACTCTCCTCTCGTGTTCAATGACGAGAGTATTGCACCGTAATTTTTTTAAGTGTAATACGAGCGATTTCACGTGAGGGATTCAATCGCATTTTTTATGAATACATATATTTTCAATACTATACTTAACAACTGAAATACTAAAAAGCTGGATAAACTACAATTTTAAAAAAACATTTTTTTCCTGGTACTCTAACGAGCGATGACTTTGTTATTCATCATGAAATCCCTCGTAATGCGACGCTTATTAGCGATACGGTATATGTATAAGTCGCTGGTGAATGGACGAAGAATAAGGCGGAAAAACGGGGAAAAGTTAAACCGGCATCACTGGGGCATCATTGGAAAGGAGACGAGAATGAAATGGAGGATGCCGAAAAAATGATTGTTGCGTCTCACGTTCGAAACGATAAGAATTGTATTCATAGATATGTTTATCAAAAACTTGTTTGCTTTCAACTGTCCTTTAAGAATAAGTAACTATAAAAAAACTGAAAGAAATGTGTAAAAGGACGACATCCTCGTCTCCTTTTCAAACGGTTATCGTTATTTGTGATTGTGTTTTCGTACCATAAAAATTATTTATCTCGTTCAATACTCGTGCGATATCATCGGGAATTTTAATTGTAAGACATACGTACGATTAGAGTACCTTTTTCTTTTTTTTATTAATTGAACGGACGCAAATGGCTGTTGCAAAAATACAATTTGTTACTCATCATCTGTTTCTGTTTATCTCTAGAGAAAGTGTTACTACTTATTTTATATTTTCTTAATTAACTTGTATGTCGTTAATCGTCGTCGTCCTGGCGTGTTCCTCTGTATTCAGCGAGGTATGCACTCGCTTGCATGGATCAACATGGGTTTGTGGCAAGAAGGCCGTCAAAATATCATGGGAGCGCGAAAGAAACCGCTTCGAGAAAAATTTCGCCTTCGTAACAGCATCGTACGGATCCCCCGTCTCACGGAGGAAGCAACGCGTGATTAAAGTGTCTCTGAACTCTCGTGCAATGATGTACATCACCAAATAGCGCGATATATTATACATTACAATACATTTTACAATCATCCCTCGGAATGAACATCTTTATAATGCACGAATACGCTCTCTCGGTACCAAAAGATCTACAAAATTCAAATCAAGAAATTGACGCAAGCTTCGGATCACGATCAACGAAACTTTTCCCGCAACGAGATTCTCCGATCTCGATCGAAATCAAGATTACTTGATAAATAATCGCTCTTGTGCACGCAAGACCGGCGAACGGCCTAGTCTCGACACCGCGCATCAAATTCATCAGCAGCATTAGCATTCAGGCAATGTACATTCGCTCAATGTTATCTCTCAAGTTTATTAGACAAGAAAATCATCTCTTTCTTCCATTTCACAGCTTTACGTCGTCGTCGTTGTCGTCGTCGTCGTCGTCGTCATCACTGTCGCGGATGTTTCACCGTATTCTGTCTGTCACCTCGAACGTATCGCCGATCGAAATTCAGGACTCGGAACGAGTCGAGGAACGAAGGAAGAAGCGATCCCCGACGTACCGGACCGGCAAACTTTCCCGAGTGAAGAAGCTCGAAAGCACGTTGATGATAATTCTCCCTCGTGGTAGCCCACACGCTGCGCTTCGTTCGAGCTCTCTCGTTCCTCTGTCAGGTAACGACTAGTCTGGCGGTCGTGCTCACCAGTTGACTCAGCTTTGGTCACTCGATACTTCTCATCAGTACAGCCAGTTCGCGAAAACCGGCGCCCAGCTTGCCCGGCATCGTCTGTTTCTTCAAAAGAATACCCCTGATCGTCGAGAGCTTCTCGTAACAGGAGAGGCACTTGTGGTATCTAAGAACAATAATGGATAAACAATTGTTTTTATTATTTTACGATGTACGAGTACAATTGAAAGAAAATTTCGGGGCTTTACACTTACCGTTCCTCTCGCGACACGTCTACGCCGATCGAGTGAAGGGGCGCTTCCACGTTCGATTTGATCACCGATGCAAAGTTTCGTAGAATTAGTCTCAATGCCGAACAGCCCACTGTCATGTACCTGCAACAACAATAAAAGCAACGTTTTTCTAATCAGCAAAATCACAACTTCATTTAGATTTTTTTAATTTATATCACTAAAATTAGTCCCAGATTGATTCGAAAAAAAAGAGAACAGAATGAGAGAAAGTTTTGGTTCGGACGCCCACCGATGCGCGTGTCACGGCTAGTTTGTTCCAAAACGTGTTATTAGCCCATAACGACGCCAATAAATAACGAAAAGCACGAAAGGCTTGGCCATGCGATTCGACGCGCTCGCTTTCGAACGGCGTTAAAGGGTTCGCGAGAGCTCCCGTTCGAATCGGCGCGACGAATCGCGCGAGCTGCCTCATAAATGTTTCACATAATACCCGACGCTCGTTTCTGAACATCCCATGAGCAACTCTGCACCACTGTTGCTATAGTGAAATAAATTCCGAAAAGAAACTATTCATATATGTATACCGATTAAATAATTCAATGACTTTCTTAGAAAAGAATTTTATCTCTAGTGTCTTATCATCGCGCAATACGTTAAGAGTAAAAAAAGAAGGGAAAAGGATCGTTACATTGGGAAACGATCGTGTGACGAACAACCCTCCGACGCGTGGCACGTGACAACGGGTCGAATATTCATCGGCAAAGACCTTTTTTTTCTCACGGGACCCGCCTCCACTTTCGACCAGGACGAAAGTCCATGACAAACGGACCGTGAAAATCGGGCGAATAGTTACATGCAGTCTGCATTTCTCTACGCCAACCAGATATGTATATTTAACCGGTAATTTGCTGATTAGATTCACCCTTTCGACGCCTGTCGAACCGTAACACGAAACTACTGCAATCAGTGCGAATTCGTGTCGCGGTAAACAGAAATTTCAGCGAACGGTATATCTAGGTCAGGGATTTGTTTAGTCTTAATTAAAACTATAATTTTATAGGAGATAGTTTATGTCTCTGAAGATCAGTTTTCTTATCAACAGACTTCTTTTGGTTTTAAGTCGGTTGTGGAGCGGGACAGAGACAAAAAGAAAAGGGGAACTAAGGAACGGTCGAGCGATTATCGACGGCAGCTGCCGAGCGACCGGCAATTAGTCTGAATTCACTTTTATGGCATCGAATACAGGTTTCCTGAACGCGCACATGATCAACGACCAAAAATGGAAGAAACCCAAAGGAACGAGAAACTGCCATTCTATCTGCACGACTAATATAATTTCATTCGAACACTCTGCAGCCCTGATCGTTCATATTTACAATTAATTAATTTTTAGGACTTAACGAGACTTTGAAAGGACAAGATGATTTGCAAGTAGCTGTTGTTAATAAAGTACGATTAGAATACGACAAATCGTTAATAAAGGGTTTGAAAACGCATACGTCGCAATTACTGTGAAAATTATATGTTCAGTTTTTTTCTTCTAATTCTAATAATAGCAATGATGCACGAATGAGAAACATATGGAGACGATGATAGCTGCAATAAGTAACAGCGTATTAGAACGGCAATTTTCCGGACTGATAAACGCACATTCTAAACGGATATACTATTATTAGATCGTGAATTGATTCATATTTGATGAAGATGATTCGATGAATCTAATCTAATCAGATTTAGTGTGATCAGAATTTGTAAACTGACTGATGTAAGACTAATTATATACAGGAATCTACGAGCGTCAATTCTCTGAAGATGATACCATAATTGGTCAGGCAATGAAATCATTTTTTTAAGGCGAGGCTCCGATTCAACCGACTTTAATAGGTGTGCACAATTTATAATGCTTATTGTGTGCGTAATTAGAGGAAGAATGGGCAGGAAGAAATGCATAACCAATGCACACGTGCAAGGAAATGCCTGTCTCTCGCCACGACAGCGCAATAGTAACAGCTTGTAACTAGGCACCGGATAATTACAACGTTTCGAGCATCGATCGCTCGCGCTGTTGCATCTATCCGTGTTCGAAATTTCTATTGGAATTCAACGCGTCATCATTTAAGTAAATAAATCCTACGATCAGTTTTTCATATTTCAATGCGCTCTTCATCACGAACGCGTCACATCCATATTCGACATCCTACGTGATCGCATTAATATTCATGATGGATCGGCTTTCAGACCAGGAAAGAAAAGGATTTACTGTCCGTAACTGTCCGTGAAGTACGTCACATATGCGCGGAACCCATTCGAGTTTTCATTCGTAATAATAATGTCCGCGACAGACGAGAATCCGCAGCTCAAATTTGCATCTGCCGCTGTCTTCCATTGTCTCGGCTAATTTTCGCCAACCCTTCGCACGCCTCGTGTTTCCCGGTTCATCGAATTAGCCATTCCCATACGGAGACGGCCGGGCACGTGAAGTGCGCGCGACCCCACTCGAAATACCGTGTTTGCGTTACCGAACGCCATACGAGAACTCGTTCAACGCAGGGGTGGCTCGGTTTTCCCTAATTCTTCTACCGTGTTATGTTTCACGTTGAAGGATTGTGTATCGCGTGCATGTTTTGAACTTTAATTAATACGATCCTATTGTCGAGTAAAAAAATTATAACTTTTAAGACGTTAACAAAATTTGTTTATACAATATCAAGATTGTAATAGTAATCCTATTTTGTAAATTGGGATGAGCAAGCCAAAGCTTCGGAATAAAACAGTAAAACTATTACTTACATTTCATATTTACTTTGTAGCAAATCACCGATCGGCCCGAGTAGGGAGTTACACAAGTCCAGGTTCCACATTGATCTGTAATAAAAAAATTGAACAGTACAAATAATATATGATAATAAAGAAATCAGATATTTAAGTAAAATCTTAATACTTACGGCTTTAAGGTCATTATCCCCAACAGATCCACGATAACAGGAAGATCGTTCATCGCCACAGCAGATTCCACTGCAGCCTGAAAATTCAATACCTTCTTACAATCTTCACTCTATTTCTTGGTTCTAGATGTAGAAACTTGGCCAATTACCTTAAGATCTTTATTGTGCCATAAAGAGTAAATGATTTGTAGGGAACGATGCCGACTCGTAAGTACCGCCATCATCGATTCGTGACCTCCCATAATGCTGTTGAGTACTTCGGCTTCTGACATCTCGCTAAGAACTCTCATCGGAGAATAACTTAATCCAGTTGAACTGGCAAAATGACCCTATCGAAAAGAAACACAATCATATCGTTTAATTAACTGTTCTTAATCTGTATATCACTCGTTAAACAACGAAGACTTACTGGTAAAAAAGTTTCGACGTCCAAACCATAAGGTTTATCCGCACTAATAGGCACGAACTCTTCCTTCTCCAACTTAGGATTCGGGGGTACTTGAGCTTTGTTTGTCTTCTTCGCGGCGAACGTCGTTGTTGTGGAAGCGTTTCGCGACGCCGCGGTCAGCGACGTTGAGGTAGCAAAGTTCCTGTTCAGCGAGGTGGACCTAGATTGCGCGGAATTTGACCTGTTTAACGCAGGATCGGAGGGGCTGTGCCTTATACTATTAATTCTGTAACGAGCGTTAAACGTGTTTTTCATAAGTATCACTGATTTTATATGGAATGCACACCAATTGTCACACGCGTGAAGCATTTCTACTTACTGTACCGGGAAATCGCTTTCGTAACCCTGTTCTCCATCTCTACAGCTACTCTGTCTTTTCAAGTAATGCTTCGGAGAATCCGGGCTAGGTGCTCTGTTCTTCAATTTTCCATCGTCCATTACTGGAAGAACGGCGGCCATCGGTGCTACACGCGGTGTTAACGTGGAATTAGATCTTTGCGGGCCTAAAGGTTGCGATAGTGTTCCTAGTTCACTGGTACCACTTTTTTTCCCAGGGAGGGGCGTAATGTTCTGTCTTAAAGGAGGTATGGATGCGAGGTTCTTCGACGTTCTGCCGACACAGTTATTCGTCTGAAGATTCGTCTTTATGTGGGTAGAAGACGTGATCGCGTTTCTCTGAACAGGTGGCGACGATTTTATAGGTTGAACACGAACTGGTACAGGTTTCGTTAACGATAACGTTGGTGCAGGCGGAGGCGGAGATGTCGGTGACGGGACAGGTGGAACTTCTGTATCCATTGTGTTCAGGCTTGACATTGAGGTAGAAAGATTTTGCAGTATCTGAGGTTGTGTGGGATCTGAAAAACGAATATACGTAGAACGATACAGTGTGGAAACATTTCATGAAGATCGTGCGAATATTTACAGAATGTTCATGCAAGTTGTTGGTGTAGGAGAAGGAACGGGAAATTCTTATTCCGTATCATAAAACTCACCTACATCTTGAGGCTCCGGAAAAGCCTCAGGTTCTGGAGGTGGAGTGCGAGACACTGAAACATATCGTGCACATAGCATGCTCATTCACAAAGCATATAACACAACATCCAATATTTCAAATGCATTTGTATTTTTCACAGGCCCGTGATTTGTAAGTGAGTACGAGTTAAAATAAGACGGAGTTCGAGTAATGTTATGTCACACATATCTTGCAGTAAGATCAAACAATAACGAATAGACTTACATGATCTACTTGGCTGAAAGACATCATGATACTCAGTAACATTGGGTATATCCGCCAATGTCGCTTCATCTTCTGGATCAGTTCCTGACTTATCTGCCTCCTCTATAGTGCGGACATCTAGTCTATAAACAAAAAATATTAATTTTAACGTATGAAAGAAGTAGGTAAATGAATATGACATCACTGTGCCGAACTTACGTGTGTTTTTTTAATCCAGGTGGCCTTTCTCTAGAAAAACTTTTTCTTAACGAATTCCCATGACTAAATGGAGAACTAGACCTTGAAACACCTCCTAGTGGAGCAATTTTCTTTAAATCACACACATATAGGACAATATTCGCTGTATGAAAACTTGCACCAATCTGAAATGTTGACAAATATTAATTGTTTTATTGTATCTGTAGATGAATGTGACATGTTGTAATTAACTTACCAATTGATTCTGAGCTATAGCTATATCCTGTACCTTTCCCCAACCAGTTGCGACTGAATCTAACGTCCTACCTGGTTCCCAACCAAAAACTTTTAATACATCATGGCAACCAGCGTAAAGACACTCCCCACCTTGACTGAAATAGAGGCACCTATCCGAGAAGCGATATATTAATCAATTATGAAGATAATAAATATTTTAAGGCACGTGCAAATATCTACCTGATAGCAGAAGAGTGACTTTGATCCGTAGAAGATACAAGTTGAAAAGATTCCAAATCCCAAAAATGAACTGTTCTATCTGCACTACCACTTGCTAATAAAAATTCATGGGGATGAAATTCCACAGTCGTTGCTGGTCCTCTATGTTCAGAGAATTCTTTTAATTGCCTGCCAGCTCTCAAATCCCATAACTAGTCAACAAAAAGATATCAATTAATGCAATTAATTTACAGTACGTAAAAGTATTTATGTCAACTGTATTTACCTTAACCATGCCTTCTTCTCCTGCACTAGCAATCCATTGACCATCAGGACTAAACTTTAAACTGTTCACCATCCTATTATGCCCCTTGTAAGTGAAAATACAACCCTTCCTTCTAATATCCCAAAGTTTAATAGCAGTATCCAAGCTACCCGATGCCAATAGTTCTCCATATGGATGAAAGTCCATACAACGAATGCCTGCTTTGTGTCCAGTTAATGTACGAGCTAATTTGGCATGTTCCAAATCCCAAATTTTCAATGCTCCTGTTTGCGATCCAGCACATACTAAATCTTCGGTTTGTCCAAATCTGACACATTCTATAGGAGTAGTATGACCACTCAGGCTCTGAAAATCAATGAATAAAGAACGTTAAATTAGGTATTAACTTAAGGCAAAGAAAATGTAAAAAACAGATGTGGTCATACCATAATACAATTCTGCTTGCCAACTGCCCATAGATTCACCTTCTTATCATCACCACCAGTGACCAAAACGCGTCCAGACTTATGACCTAATGCCAAGCAATTGACATTGGACGAGTGGGCAACAAAATCCTCTGTACAAAGAGAAACATACGTGTATGAAAATGAGCTGACCCTGTCACCTTTTAATGACACTACAAAGACAATGTGCACTTTCCGCTTGAAAAAGGTTATGACCTTAATAGGAAGTCGTAATGAGCAATTAATTGCATAGGGGATCATCGAACAGTTTGTAAACACGAATCTGTTTACTTATATCAGGAAAGAAAGAGCGCCAGAACGAAATCCATTGGACGCATACTGAACACCGATGTGTTAAATAATAAAGAATATTCGAAGTACGAACGAGACAATTACTTACGAAGTTTCCATGACCTCTTCGTGGACGAAGCCATATTCTGGGACCACAGGATTGCGTTGTGCACGACTTATTTGGCAACGACAACAACTTGAGATTTCTTCAGTTTGCAGATGCACAATTTTTTTTTGCTCGAATTCGTCGGTAACATTTTTACTTTGTGTTATTACTCAGTGCCTGGACGATCTTTCAACGGGGCGGCAGCATCTCGCCGCGTTCTGGTCCTGAAGGCGATCCTTTCCTTGAGACTTCTGTCCGTTTTCAGAAACCGTTCGTTCCACCTCTTCGTCGTATCTCATTTCTTGAATCTGCCTGTCCGTGGGTAGCGCGAACTAACGTGACGTTGAGAAATATCGAAGTTCTCTTTCTATTCAATCGAACACGCGTTCCAATCGATCGCACCAGATGTCAGCAGTTCCTGGTTAATTGAATTTTAACCCTAGTAAGTGTCAAATGGAACTTGAAACAAATAAACAAAAAGAAATGTTGGGTAAAGCATTACTTGTAAAGTAATTTACAATGCTCGATGAATACTGCGTAAAATTACCTATTACGTTGTACGTGCCATAATGACAAATCATAAAATACTGTAAACGTACCAGAGTGAGGTTAAAAAGTTTTGATTAATTTTATATTAACATATTATATGCAAGGAACAAGATGTTTCCATTTTTTCGATCACATGTGTTACCCACTCACGTTAAAAAGTCGGTTTGTGCTCAGATATTTAAGAGACATTACGTGAAGTACGTGCAAGGACAATCTCCAGAGCCCCGAGTTCGGGAATATTTTTATTACATTGATCACCAAGGCATGGTATAATTTATTCTATAAACTTTGATCACAGAGTCTATTTATTATAGTCGCTGTTTTTGTTTTACTTATTATAGCTGTTCCTGGATGATGCACGTATGAAAAATTTTACTTCATGCTTCAAAGGTGTGCATAAAGAATGAGATAACTCATTACTCCGATTCATATGTCATAGAAACAGTATTGTTGTAGATAAAAAATTTCTGGCATTCTTTTTCAAACGTTTGAAGAAAAATAATGTAGGGAGGTACACTGAAGATTTCCCTTATGTTTCTCTTTGTGGTCCTGAAAGGAACTTTGTCAGATGTGATGATTTGCCAATAGTTTTTACCAAAATTGTTCAGAGGAAAAACGAGATAGGCGAAGTTGAAAACTGGTTTAGCTATGCTTATGCAGAAGAATTATTAATGGTATATACATCAAATTCCAATTGTACTTGAGTGTTACTTTATATTATTTATTACTTTTTATTATTTTAATAATAAATTCATTGTAGGTTCCATTTGAACCAGATAAGTTGTACATGCATGTTGAATCAGGAAGAGTGTATCATCCTGCGCCGGAAAGAGCAGGAGGAATAGGTTTGGTGAGATCGAAAATTGCAATTGACCTTAGTTCATTTTTTGAATTTGAAAAGGGTGAGGAAAATGGTCCGACTCATATCTCTTGGAATAAGAAAAAATATATATTAGATAATCATTGGCATAAGGATAAAATACTACAGGCTAACGGATAAAAATAAATAAATTTTATTTTCAATTAAAAAAAGAAAACAAAATCAATATATGAACAACTCTCATAAATGTACATATATTTTTAGATAGTAACAAAGATTTTGTAATTTTTCTCTATGTTAGCAAATTTGTTAAGGTACACATGAAATATCAAAAATTCTAACTGTAGAGTCGTCAGATGTTGTTAACGCTTTTTCTCCATTTCTGTAAAAACATCGATGTATTCTTTTAATAAAATATAAAAATAATATACACAGATAGTCTTTTGAACTTACTCAGAGATGGATAAGTCAAGAATGTCTGCCACGTGTCCTGTGAATGAACGTAAACATTCACCATTTTTTCCATCGAAACACCTCAGAATACCATCTAATCCCGCCGAAAATAATATACTCGTGTTTCCTTTCCATACGAGTTTAGATATTCCACTTTCTTGTGCTATTTTTTGTCTGAGTATCTAATAACAATAATGAAAGTTACCCTGGTCTGAAATTCCAAAGTTGCACTCAAGAAGGAAAGTAGTAATACTTGTTTCGCAATGTCCCAGATAAAAATCTCTCCGTTAACTGTACCAGTCGCAGCAACTTGAAATGCAGGATCTTTACAGAACGCCGCTGTTTCTACCCAATTGCTGTCGCAATTGCCTTCGTCATTTTCTGCCTCTTCATCGTTGTCCATAACATTATTTTGCTCAACATTTTTAAGATTTTGCAGAACTGAAATTATCTAAGAATTTTAAATAATATTACAC